AATGCTGAAAAAGCTTCTATGCAGTCCTGTTAGTGTCTTAAAGAACCTAAAAGCTGGGACCAGTAAAATCCACAGAAATTCACTCTTGCCTTAAGAACTTTTGAAAACTGTTTTAAAAAAAAACAACAACAGGGCAGGAACCTAAATTCTGAGACCAAATGTAAAAGTCAGATTTGGTGGTTCTCAGTGACAGTGGGGAATCTCCAAGGGGTGGGATGGGTGGGAGTGGGGTGGTCAGAGATTATTTCTCTTGTTGGCTTTTATGTCTCACTAATTGTTGTCTTCCATATCCTGCAGCGCTTCTTTATTCTGCTCTTCACCATCACCCTACATGTCTGAAGTCCATAGTGTCAGATTATGACGGAACAATGCATAATAAGTATAGAGTCCTTACAGCTTTCTTCATTCAATGTATCCAGTTCTGCAATTGCATCATCAAATGCTGCTTTTGCCAACCTGCAGGCATGGTCAGGGGAATTAAGAATTTCATAGTAGAATACAGAAAAGTTGAGAGCAAGACCTAAACGAATAAGATGCATTGGTGGAAGTTCTCTCATTGCAATGTCACTAGCAGCTTTATAAGCTGTTCTCTGTAGCCTCCTTCCTATCATTTCCTGTGACAAATTCAGCCAGATACCTGTGGTAGTCCCTTTCATTTTATAATAGAAAACCCTGGACTCGCCAGTGTTAGCTGCTGGAATGAGGTGTCTGTCCAGTACATCCAGAATGTCACAACAGATTAACTTTAGCTCAGTCTCAACCATTTGCTGATATTCTCGAACCATTTTTAGTTTGTCTTCTCTCTTGTTTTCTTCGTTCTGTTCAATGCTGCTAATTATTCTCCAGGATCCTCTTCTAGCTCCAATCACATTTTTATATGCAACAGATAGGAGGTTTCTTTCTTCAGCTGTCAGCTCCACATCCATTCCTGCTACTTTCTTCATTGATTCAACCATTTCGTCTTATCACTCAGCCTGCTCAGCCAGCTTCTCCTGGTACACCAGATCTTCCCAGTCGTCCATAACCGCAGCGGCACAACAGATGGAAGCAGATAACATTTCCGACTCTCTTAACCCCTTGCTCCGCGTCCAGGCAGCAAAAACCCCCATGTTTATCATTTATGGCATACCAATACTCCATTGTGTACAAATGCTACATTTTCTTATCCATGTATCCACTGATGGACACATAGGCTGCTTCCCAGATTAAGTTATTGATTGTGCTGCTAGAAACGTGGGTGTGCATGCATTACTGAAGTGTGATGTGTTTAACTCTTTTGGGAAAATACCTAGGAGGAAAATAGCTGGGTCAAATGCAATTTCTGGTGTTAGTTTTTTTTGAAGAATCTTCATAGTGATTTTCATAGTGGTTGTTACCAGTTTACAGTCCCACCAACAATGAAGAAAGGTTCCAGTTTTCCTACAGCCTTATTGTGATTGGTTGATTTCATGATGGTAACATTTTGTTTTGTTTTATTTTGTGATAAGGTCTTAGTTTGGGCTGGCCTTGAATTGGCAGTGATCTTTCTGCTTCAGCCTCCCAGGTGCTGGGATAATAGGCATATGCCACCTTTCCTGGCATGATAACCATTCTTTCTGCAGTAAGATGAAATCTCAGTATTTTAATTTGCATTTCTGGAATGGCAGCAATGTAGAACATTTTTTTCAAGTATTGGATATATATATATATATCCAATACTTGAAAAAAATGTTATATATATATATGGTTTTTTTTTCCTGTATTTTTAGGGAAGGGTCTACAAGGGTGTTCAGGGTCTCACTACTAGATCAGACTTGTAGTGATTCTCCTGTTTACAGCCTCCCAAGAGCCAGGATTACAGGCGCATGCTACCATGCCAAGTCTCATTTGCCATCTCAGCGCACCCTGGTGGCGGGGCGGCACGGTAGGGCCAGGGATCACACCCCTAGCCCCTGTGCCTGCTTGCAGGCACTTTAATCTACTGAGCTGTTTGGCCAGCCCAAGCGATTTATATTTTTTCATTTGAGAAGTATATTTATTTCTGGTGCCCATTTGTCCTTAAATTTAGGGACCTAAGATTTTTGAGTTCTTTATATATTCTATTCCTTTGCCTAAGAGATAGCTAGCAGAAAAAATTTTCCCATTCTGTAGTTTGTTTCTTCACTGTCTCAGTGGTTTCCTTTCCTGTGCAGAAGCTTTTTAATATGATGTGATCATGTTTGTTCATTCTTGGTATTATTTCTTGTGCAAGTGGGACTCTATTCAGAAAGTCTCTGCCTGCACTCATGTCTGCAAGAATTTTGCCTATCTTATCTCCCAACAGACTGTTTCTATTTTAATATTTAGATCTTTGAATCATTTTGATTTTGGTTCAGTATATAGTGAGAAAGGGAGAGGAGTGTTAAGTTAAATCTTTGGCATGTGGAAAGCCAGTTTTACTAACACCATTTGTGTAAAAGGTAATCTTTCCTTTGGTGAAAGTATTTGGCCCCTTTGTCAAAGATAAGGTAGCGGAATGTGCCAGAGTTTCTGCACCATCTGTTCTGTTCCATTGATCTGCAAGGCTGTTCTTCACCAACACCATGCTGTTTATATCACTGTAGCTTTATGGTATGACTAAGATTGCCTATACGGTTCCCTTTTTGATTGGATCTTTTTTCTGGCAGAGCTTGCTTCCAGAAATGACTTTGAGAGTACCACTTCTCTTTCAGTTTCACTAAAGAGTTTGAGAAGTATTGGCATTAGATCTCAAAAGTTCTTATAGAACACAGCAGTGAGTCCTGTAGGACGTGGGCTTTTCTTAGTTGGTAGTAGGTTTATTACTTTTTCAGTTTGACTTAGTGATATTGGCTTATTTAGGATTTTTATATCTTAGTTCAACTCTGGTAGTTCACATGTATCTAGGAATTTACTCACTTTCATAGTTTCCATTTTATTAATGTGCAAGTTCTTGAAGTTGCTATAGCTGATCTTCTGGATTTCAGCAGAATCCATTGTGATTTCACCTTTCTTATTTTGAATTTCATGTATTTCGGCCTTTTCTTTCCTTATTTGGTAAGGAAAATAAAGATTTGCCTAAGCGTTTGTCTATTTTGTTTCTCTTGCAAGGACCCAATTCTTTATATTCATTGATTTTTAGAACAGATATTTTTTAGTCTGTTTCACTAATTTCTACTCTGATATTTATAATTTCCTTATTAGCTTTGGGTTTTACTTTTTCGTGTTCATCTAGGACTTTGAGGTGCATCATTAGGTTATTTTTTTTTTTTTATCATTAGGTTATTTATTGGAGCTTGCTCTTTGCCTTTCAGATATTGAGAATTTTGTATTACACTGACTTGGTGCTCAAGGATTTCTTTTCTTTTCTTTTTTCTCAAGGATTTCTTGAGGTGTTCCTTGTCATGGGAATAAGTTATTTTCTTATCAGTTTTAAAGGAAAGTATAAAGGACATATAAATTGAGATAGAAAGTTGTTATCTTTTAGGGCTTGAAATACTTCACTCCAGCCCCCCCTGGACTTTAAGGTTTGTGTAGAGAAGTTTACTGTAATTCTAATCAATTTACTTTTGTGTGTGATTCTATTTTTTGTGTTTCAAGGAATCATCTGCTGCAGTTTGCTTTAGAGTCACCACCCATATCTCCTGCTTCATCTTCCTCAAAAAAACTGGCTGTCAAAGTACAGAGTCCTGGAGCCCTCAGACATTCTTTAAAGCAGGGCAGCACGTTAATAGACAAGTTTTTGATCAGAGAACCTGGTGGTTCTACGTCAGAGTTGTTGATAAAAGAAAATGACAGCAAGTTCATCCATCAAAAAAAGGCAACCCCTTCTACAGAAGCCAAAGAGACATGTTTTATGGAAAAGATGACACCTGGCTCATCAGATGCCAATAGGCCTGAAATACCCTCTACGTCCTCTTTGAAACAAGTTGTTAAAGGTAGGACACTGTTTGAAGGAAATGTTGCATTTCCTTAATGGAAATTTTGTTGTCCATATGTCATAAGAATAAATAATGGTTTTGAAGAGAAAAGCGTACAAACGGGCCAGATTTCACCTTCCCGCAATTGCAGAGATGGTTATAGTCATGGCTTATAGATGGAAATTCAGCAGAGTTGCTGCAAAATTGAAACAGTTTAATTAGCTTATACTTTAAGTATGATAGTAGCCTTCTACACCCCACCCCACTCCCATGTAGTAGTTCTGGTTTAATCTAAGAGCTACCCCTCCATGTTATTCTAGCCACCCCACCTTGATTCTTCTGTTTCCCTCTTAGAAAATGACCTTTTTTTAGCTAAGTTCATTTCCGTACTGTTCTTCCACCTAGGGTTAGCAAACACTCAGAAGCCAAAACTGGCTTGCCAACTGTTTTTGTAAATAAAATTTTACTAGAATACAGTCACACCTGTTTGTTTGCATATTGGTTCTGACTACTTTCACAGTATCATTGCAGAGAAGCACAGTAGTGGCAGACTAACGAGAAAACCTCAATACTCCCTGGCTCTTTATTAAGTGTGTTTGCCAACCCCGGCTATGTACCTTTCAAACCATTTTATTTATGGATTAGGTTAGAGAACATTGGTATCTCACCTTACTTTTGCCCTTTCTACAGATAATAAAGTCCTTCCTTCTCTTTAAAAAATACAGTAGGTTGCCCTGTTTGTGGTGTTAACATTCCAGAAAATCACATTAATAAGCACTTAGATGGCTGTTTGTCACGTGAAGAGAAGAAGGAGAGCCTCAGAAGGTAAGAAAGTTGACTGTACCTCTTCAGTTACATCAGCTAGATGCTTCTGATACTTATAAAGTTGAAAAAACATTGAGTATTTTGGCCAGTTGTCATAGTCCCTCTCCAGCTGTTTTTTCTCCTTTAATTTTGTTTGGCGTGGCTCCCTTCTCTGTCCTCTTGTTCTTTCCTGAACTCTCACTTTGCCACATATGATTAATTATATAAATATATTGAATATGTATCTAACTTTTAAATTATGACCATAGAAATTAATGACTTAAAATTCAGTTCTTTTTAGAAACTTTCTTCTTAGAATTTTAGAACTCCTATAAAATCTTAGCCTTAGAAAGCAGATCTAGACTCTGAACATTGAAAGTATGAAAGCTTTCTTCTGTTCTTAGGATACTCAAAAAGTTTACAATTTTAAATCAGGTTTTTTTTCAAAAATTTTCTCTTTTTTTTTTTTTTGACAAGGTAGAGATACATGATACAAAAAGTTCAGAAGTGTGTATGAAATATAATGTCATTCCTTCCAAACCACCGAAGTTATATAATTAGTGAGTCACCTCCACAGTATCTGCCTCCAACTGTTGTGCTCTTCGGCCTCTGATATACCTGGAAGTAACGCTAATTTCTTAAACCAGCCTACTGTTACACATATAAGCTATTTAGGAATGAAACTGTAATTGAAGTTTAATTGCAGGGTATTATAGAATCTGTGGCTGATGAAGACAAAAAGGAAGCAAGTTGAATGAGGCTGGCGGCAAGGAAAGAAGGGAAGCGATAGTTTAGGGAGAGTAAGTAACACCCTCAAGGGAAACTTGTATTTTTAACAGTAGGAGTTGTTTAATCCTTCAGTCTCTTTTCTGGTAGTTTCTGCAGGAGAAAGTAGATGGTCAGTGGCACAAAGTGCTGAACTAAACCAGCAATTTAGTAATGAAGTTATCCTGGACTTGTTGGAAGGACTCTTGAACAGGAGGAAAGGGAAAGAGAGTAGGTAATAATTCAGAGTGCTTTGGCAAACAAGAGAAGAAGGCTGAAGACAGGAGTAGCACTTGGAATGTGGGGATGACAGAATGATTGGCCCTTCTCCTTGATATGTGTTAAAGGCATTAGAAGGGTGTTTTCCAAAAACCATACTAAAAAGGTAGGGCCATCTTACTATTTTTATACGATTAAAGATAAAAATAAGTCATTGTTTAGAAGTAAGCCTGTGGTGAATGCAGGCTGTAAAGGACAGACTCAGCTGTGGTAACGTGTGCCTGCTGACCTAGAAGTGCAGTGATCTCTTATTAATTCCCCAGGGGTAGGGTGCGGGGAAGGCAGCACTTGCCTCCAGACCTGGGCAATCCTGCGTGCACCCTACTGTCTCCTACCGTGGGCATAAGTTTGTTGATGAGAATAAGAACTATACGTTACTTACTGGGGACTTGGAATAAATGAAACAAGACAGCTCAAGAATGGCTTTTCTCTTGAACAGTGTCTCTTTCTTCCCCACCCCCCCAAAAAAGTGAGTTGGGAGTACAAAAGCTGAGTATTTTCTACCTGAAGAGTAAGAAATCACCACTGATAATCTTATTTGGGTTTTGTTTTCTATTTTCATTAATTGTATTCTAGTACATTTAGCTGTGTCAGTTTATTCAAAGCTGTATTTGTACATGTGTGATTAAGTTTAAGTTCCTGGAGCGATTTCAAATCCTGCTCCATAGAATACTGTAGTCTTGGCAGTTGGCCTACAATGTGGTGTAGAATGAGTGCAGCTTGTGTTACTTTCTTAGTGTATTGAAGGCAGTAAGAAGCCCTACATAAGGATAACTACTGGGTATGGTTTTATCAGGTAATTCCTGAATTTGTTTTACCCCAAAACCTTTTTTGTCTTGAGAATAATTCACATCTTGTAGAATTAGCCAGATATTCTTAGGGAGCCATTTAGCTTCATCTCTCTTTAGTTACATACTGGTCGGGGCATCTGACCACCTTAAAGAGCATTGACCTATTTTTCCATCTCCGCTGTAATACCCCAACAAAGTCCTGTCTTAGATGTGGATGAAAACCGTCCTGTATGAAGTCGCCTCATGGTTCATTCAGAGCACATACTTGTCCTTTGATGTTGTCAGATGGGAAGGGCTCTCAAATACAGTACTCAGTCTCACTAAATCATGGAAGAAAGATCAGTTGTCATTTTCTTGTTTGGGGAAACTTTCCGCTGGCTCTCTGTTTTCAAATTTCTGAGAGAAACTGTTGATTTCACATAGTGCTTTTCACTGTGAAAGCCAGTGAATATTGATAGAGTTCTTTTTAGAATTTTATTTATGAGTTTAATAATCTGTCCTTAATAAAATAAATGTTTTGGATAGGAATTTAATGATTTCTTTTTGTGTACTTGTTATAAATATCTACAAGATGATTCAGCATTTGCTACCTGCAGTTGATTTTATTTTATTTTTATTTATTTATTTATTTATTTTTTGCTCCAAATGCCTTCAGGGCAGGTTTGGCTGGCTTGAGTTGTGGGGATCGAACCACAGCAACCTGAGCCTGACTGCTTTGTTGAAGCAG